GCTGGCCAAAGAGGTCAAGGGTGTGCGTGTGCGTGTGTGGGGTGTGTTTTGTAGGGCAAACACGATGTGATAAAGCTCACACACACGACACATGAGGCAATGCGGGTTGAGGCATGCCGGATTTCGGATTGCGGATTGCGGATTCAGTTTGAATTTGAGTTTTCCTATTTCCATTTCCCATTTGCACTCCACACCACGCCACACATATCTGTTGTTGTTTTGCTTGTCAACAATTCCTCTCCTCTCTCCCCCACTCTAACCTCTTCACCCTCATGTGTGGACTGGAGAATTTTCTATTCGTAGTTGGCGCGACAAGTTGTCTGTGGCACACAAAACGCTTTTCATTCCGGGGTAGAAAATGATGAGAATTTCCATATTATCGAAGTTCAAATGGCACCAAAAGAAAAGCGTGAAAAGCGAGGGGGCTGGGCGGACAGCAGCGGCAGTCAGTGTGTTTGTGTGTGTGTGATAATTTGTTGATTTGGGCCCAAGCCGGCGCCACTTGTTGCATACCCCACGCCCCAGGCGCAACAATGGCAACCAGTGTGCCAGAGATGGACATGGGATACAAGTGGGTGGGGGGGGGCGTCTGGGGAAAGAATGGCGTATGAGGGGGTGGGTTAGAAGGGTGGTGGGTGGGAGGGGGTTTGCATGTGTATTTTGATGCCGGACGTCAAGGCCATGCCACAAGACGCTGCTGTCACTGTCTGCTTGGCTCGGGGTGTTGCTGTCCTTTCTCTCTGTCTGTGTGTGTGTGTGCTTGGGTGTCTGGGTGAGTGTGTTAATGTATTCATTGGCTCGTCCCGGACAAGACCATCGAGTGGCGGGGCATGCCGCATGCCACGGATGCCGGATGCCGGAAGTAGTAGTCAGCAAGCCATAAAAACTTAAGGAACACATACGAGACGAGGCATGGACACACACAAACAGTCAGAGGGGGGCAGAGCAGGGAGAAAGCCAAAGCCAAAGCCAAGGCAAGACGGCAAGTGGCAGGAGTCGTTCTTTGGATCAGGCAGGAGCACTGCCACTGCCACTGCCGCTGCCACTTGCCACAGGAGGATATGTGTGCGTCTCTCTGTGTGTGCGTGTGTATGTGTGTTTTTTTCTGGTTCTTTTTGTTTGGGCAACGCGTTGACTCCACATATGCTCTTGTGACACACACACACACATACGCCACAGTCTGTGTCTGTGTGTGGCACAGTGGCAAGCGCAGGACGTTCGTTTTTTTTTTTTTTTCTTTTTTTTTCGGGCTAGCTTCAGGGGAGTAGAAAGCAGCAAGAAGTGTGTAGGGGGTGGGGGTGGGGCACTCGGTGTGACGTTCGCAGTGCGAGGCTGCTTCTGCCACTTCCCCTTCCCGCCACTCCTTTCCCTTTCCCCCCTTCGTTATGCTTCTTATCCTCTGTGTGTTTTTTTTTTTTGCAGGACGAAGTGAAAGTGAGCCACATGCCAGGACGACAACGACAACGTCGACGACGACGACGACTTTACTTGTTTGGTCAATTGCCATGTGTGTGTGTGTGTGTGTGTGTGTGTGTGTGTTGGGTGGGTGGGTGAGTGAGTGGGCGGACGAGCGAGACGACCTTGGCCTCACTTTTGCTTCTTTTGTCGTTGTCGTCGCTGTCGCTGGGCTGCGTGCGTGTCTGCTGCTGATGCTGCTGCTGCTGCTCCCTGTTGCTCCTTTTGGCTCCTTGCTCTTGTAATTTTATGCGGATTATCACTGCACACCCACACCCCACACACCCCCCACACACACACACACAGCAGCAGAATGAAGATGAGACGCGTGTGTTTGTCAGACAGGTAGACTGGCTGGCTGGATGGCTGGCAGCCCCATGCCTCCAACTGCCGCCCAAGATGTCGGCTGCTGCAAGGTCAAGTCGCGTCGCGTCGAGTCGAGTCAACTTTGGTTGCCAGGCAAGGCCGTGACTGCAGAGCAGCCAACAGCAGAGTGGAGGTGTGGGAGGGCAGGCGGGTTGGCTAGCAGCAGAGAGCGAAGCCGGAAGTTAAAAGTCCGTGGCGGCAGCGCTTAAAAAACAACAACGACAAACACTTGAGAGTCGGCCACGGACAGTCTGGATTTTAATTTCAATGTTTGGTCCTGGTCCTCGTCTTCGTTCTCGTCCTCGTCCTCGTCCTGGACCTGTCTGCCTCCGCAGAGGTTGAGTGTGAGAGGTTGGGTGGTTCGTGCTGTCCGTGCCTCGTGCTGTGGCATTGTCTGTGTCTGGGTCTGCTTCTGCTTCTGTCTCTGTCGCTGTCTACGTCTCCAGCTGCTTCTGTTTGTCGACACAAACTCCTTCGCGGTGGCCACGCAACGTCCTTGGCATCCACTCGAAGCAGACGATGAATGCGACAGAGTGGGGGCGTGCAGCGGGGCATGGAAACACAGTTTTCTCTAGGTCACACGGACACCTGTTGCAGGTCCGAAGGCGCCTCTGGCCAGAGACAACCTCAGCGATAGTCAGCTGTCGCGAATGAGGCTCCAAGGCCGCCCCCCTAGCTGTATGCTGTGTGCTGTGTGCTGCGGTGGCAGGGGCAGACAGGGGGGGCCTCATTAATTAATGGCTTTATATGCCAGCGCGCGCGTCTCTCGATACCATTGTCAATAGCAATTATGCAGCGGAATGTTGCAGGCAATAAACGAGTATGAAAATAAATAATTTCTGCCGCCCACTCATGTGCTTTTGATTTTGTTTATTGAAAAACTTTGCGACTCTCGAAGTGCAGGACATGGAAATGCAATAAAACAGGTAGGCTTCCAGGATTCCCCCCTTACTGACTGTCCCCTCTGTGGTGGCATCTGCGCCGAGTGGCAGCTAAACTTTTCTACGAAATTACAAGCTTAAATGCGCCGCAGGGGCAAAAGGGATATGCAGCATTAAAATGGAAAATGAGAAAAATTGTACAAAATGTGAGAAACAAGAGCAAAGCAAATGAGAAATGGCAGGCAGGCAGGCAGGGGGTAGGGGGCAGGCAGCGGCAGACAGGCAGGCGGTTTTCAAACAATAGCATTACGAAACAAAACCAAAAAATAAATAAAAAACTATCAAAAAACTGACTTTTCTACAATTTACACACATGTCCGAGCACACATTAGTGTGTATGTGTGTGTGTGTATGTGTGTGGATAAAACAAAGGGCAATCGCAAAGATACAGCACAGCAGATACAACACCAAAAAAAAAAAATGCAAAATGAGGGGCAAACAATAAAAAAAAAATTTATAATTATTTTAATACAAAAAGCGCCAAATAAAAAGCGACAACAAAAGCGAAAATTGCATTAACAATGCAGCCAGCGCGATGGCTCAAAATCCCTTCGTAACTCAACCCCCCACCCCCTCTAGCACTCCCACAAAAGTAGAAAAAAAATGTATATATATATATACACATGAAATGTAACAAGAGAGTGGTTGGGGAGAGAGCGGAAGAGAGGAAAGGGAATGGGCAGCGCAAAAAAAAAAAAAATACAGCGCCAAATTATATTATAATTATATTTAAAATGCTGCCTGCTCGATGGCCCCCACCAACTGCCACGCCTCTATCCTGCTGGCCAAATGCCATGCCATGCCACGCCACGCCACGCCACACCACGCCCCTCTCTCTCTCTCTCTCTCATGCTCAGGGCAGTGGAGTAGAACAAAATTACTAATAATTTTTGTGAAAAACTGAAAAAACACTTTACATTTCGGTGTTGCATAGACACAGAAAGGAAGAAAAGGAAATTATAGCCGAATCGAGGTGGGAGCTGAAAGCCGATGCTGGCATGCTCTTGCCTGGAAAAGGAGCAGCAAGAGAAGATCGCGGCTTCAATCGTAATTGCCATACAAATCATTCAGTCAGGCAGCCAGTTCCTGAGGGAACTGTGGCACCCAATCGCGGTTTAAGGGTATTTAAATAGATAAAAACCAAATGAGATTTCGCGCTCTCTGAACTGTTCAAGAGAAGCCCTGTGCTGCCCTGCGCTGCCCTGCCCAGACCTGACCTGACCAAACGGTCTGATCCCTTCACCCTGCTGCCGCTTCTAACTTTGTGGAAAGCGCGCAAAAAATGCATGTGGTAGGGGTCATAATATGCATCAAAACAGTGGCAACAACAATGACATTGACAACAATGGCAGTGGCAGCAGGAGCAGCAGCAGCAGTGGCAGAAGCAGCAGTGGCAGGAGCAGCAGTGGCAGCAGGAGCAGCAGCAGTGGCAGCAGTAGTTAGTGGCAAATGGCAGAGTGGCAGAGTGGCAGAGTAGCAGGGCAGCAAAGGCAATTGTATGGTTAACAAGCGAATAAATTTTGAAGCGCTTCGGGAATATCGTATCACGTATACGCCATGTGGCTAACACGGTAGCTGCCGCAGTGCAGCCAAACAAACGTTTAGACGAATGTCTCTATGTGTGTGCTGATAGGGAAGGCAAAAGGGAAAAGGGTAAAGGGTAATGGCACTGGCCAACAGCCAAAAACTGTGGCGCTAACTATAATTTGCACTGGTTACTGTTGCTGCCATTTTAATTTCATTTGCCATACCCTGCACTGGCGGATACCAGCGAGGCATTTAGCCCCACACGAAGCAGCATTCACTACGCCCCAATGTCGAGGGTATCCACAGATGCGTTGCACATGCCGCCACACAATCATCCGGCAAAGTCTAGCAGAGCTCTCCTGTTCGCATTCGTGCCGTTTCGTCGGCTTAATTTCGTGCCTTTTGCTTTGCTTTTTGTAATTTATGTGTTTATTATTTTTTACAAGTCGCATTTAGTTGGCCCCCGTCCCCCTCCCCCCCCCCCAAACAAAAAGGAGCAAAGCTCTCATGCATTTTTCCACCAATATGTACGTAGTTTTTGTGGGTTCTTTTCTGCATTTGGTATTTAGACAAAAACCCAATTGCATGCCTAACTGACTTTGGCATAGACAATATGCAGAATATGAATTGCGTTAGCGTTGCCAGTGGCCAGTTGCCACACCACTCAATTTATTACAAATGAAATTCTGTTTAAAATTTCCCCTTTTGCAGGTGCCACGTGGCCTGGAGGCAGCAGCCACACAGCAGGAGGCGGAGCAGCAGTGGTGCTGGTTTAATGCAGAGTCTCCTCTACTCTACGTTCAGGTACGTGCACATCCTATGCCACGCGCTTATCGTAGATCATTCAGGCCACGGCCACTCGGTTCACAGATAACAAATTTAACTTTAAGCTGCCATGGCCATGGCCGTGACCAAGGGGTTATCCCAAGCAAGCCACTGAACAAATTGCTAAACGCTTCAGCGTTATGCGTCTTATCAACTGAAGAACGGCAAATATTGGCCTTAATCAAGTGCTAGGCAGCGCCAAAAGGGGGGCAGAACTTTCCATCTTATTCACTATCGCATCAGGCATATAACGCTTTGCGATGTGTTGGATCTGTGATGGCAAGAACTCAACTACGTACTCCAGTACGTACTCCGGTACGTACTCCGGTATGATCTTCAGCTGTTCAGCTGCATTTAAATGTTTTTGCATCGATCTAAGCTCTAAGCTATGACAGCTGCTTGATGTTTAGGTGTGCTCTAGGCTCAAGGTATTTGTGTTGGTTGAGTACTGAATATCTTGGCTATTTGCTGTTTAAATTCCCCCAAAACTTTGATATTCGCAAGCTGCTCAAATCGCAGCTACGCATTGGCTGCAAATCTCAGAAATCGACGCTGTCGCTGTCGCTGTCTCTGCCTCTGTGCCTTCATATCGATTTGAAATACGCAATAATAATTCGGCGAAAAGTGTTGTACTACAATTTACTTAATGCAAAGACACAGGCGGCTCCCCCCAGCCCCAGCCCCCAGCCCCCTCTTTTATTGGGTAGTTACCGCACATTGCCAATCTCTTTATACATATGTACGAGTATGTATTTATGTATGTATGTATTGTATGCTACACAGTAATACTTTTGCAAACTTGGCTCCTTCTCCCTGGAGATACCCCCCTACCTACCTCCTTGGCCACTCATCGCTGCACCCTCTCTCATCTATCATTTCCTCTGCCGCTGCCTCTCTCCCTCTCTCTCACATCTCACTCTCTCCCATTGCTTTCTTCGTGTGGGGTAGAACTGTAAAATTTTGTGTCTAAACGCAAAACAAGAAAAAATAGGGGAAAATAAAAAAGAATAAAATAAATATAGAGATGGGATATGGAGAGAGGGCGCAAAAAAAGGGGAGCACTCAAGGGGGGGAGGGGGTGTGCATCTGGTGCTTGTAGGGCTGTGGGACAACCTCGCTCACAACAACCAACCGTTCAATCAACACCCCATTTGACTAACAACAACAAAAACAAAGGCAACAACGGCAACTCCAAGACTCCAAGACTAGAAAAAGACGATGATGATGATGCCCTGCCCACCCCCCTCCAATGGCATGAAGCAGAGGGAGAACGAAAGGAGGAACGGAGGAGCAGCTCCAGGCACCAGGCGGCAGGCACCAGCCACCAGCCACCGCAGCATCACACACACACACACACACACACACACACACCTATTCTAACGTTTCGCGGCAGCTATAAAAATATTTTTTAACATTTCTCGCGCGCGAAACATTTTCTTTCGGGTTTTTCGTTTTTCTCTTTCGGGTTTTCTCTTTCCTCCTTCTTGGAGCGCTCACTCACTCACTCGCTCCCTCTCTTTCGCTCGCTGGCGTCTGGATTCTAACCCTGGCCCTGGCCCTGTCCTTGCCCTTGCAACCCCACCCCCTTGCCAGCAACTCCCCGTACCATACCCCGCCTGCTGGGGCTGCTGTGCCCCGCTGGCGTTCAGGAATGCCTCGCGCTGGAAGAAAACTGTTAGAGCTGCGAAAGTTTGCGTCTGTTTGTCTTCACAGCGCGATGCGGCCTGCAGGATGGGTGTGCCAAGGGGGTGAGGGGAGGGAGCTATGTTCCACTAGGAGTTGGGTTAGAGCAGCGTTTTGTTGCGCTGCTTTTTGCTTCGGAGCGGCAACATAATGAGAGGCACCTCCATGTGATGCTGCTGTCTCTTTCTGTTGCGCCCAAAAATACACCAAAAGCAAGAAAGAAAGAGCACAAAAAAAAGAAGGGAAGAGCGACAGCAACAAAAAATAATAATAATAATAATAATGAAAAGTTTTATGCATAGAAAGAGCGGGCAAAAAATATTGCCAAAAAACGCTGAGCGCAGAGAGGGGAAGGCGCAGCCAAGGAAAAGTCGAGAGAAGGGAAAAGGACAGGCAAAGACAGCGCGTGGGGGAAGGGGGTAGGTGGTAGATGGCAGTGGGTTGTGGGTGGTTGTGGTGGGGAGGAGGCAATGTATTTGAATCTAAACTGCAAAATATAGAAGCGTCCCTCCCCTCTGGCTGGCTGGTTGGATGGATGGATGAATGGCTGGGTGGGAGAGTCCTTTGCCTGGCTTCGGTGCACATTAACTGGTCGCCCCGTGCCCCAACCGACGGCATTTGCCCTGCCCCCTGCAGCAAGCGCTCCCCGCGCGCTCAACATAAAGAAAGTTGTAACTATGAAAATTTTATAAATTCCGCAGATTTTCTGGCGCTAAGAAAGCCGAGCACCGAGCAACGGCTGAGGATGGGGTACGGAGCAGGGGCAGGGGCTACGTTGGTTTGTCGGCGGTTGTCGGTCGTTTGGGACGGCGGACCTCAGCTGGTTTCTTCTTTAGAGTGAGTAGAGCGGTGTGTAGCGGTAGTTCTGCGCGAGGGGGTGTTGTGGGGGGTGGGGTGTTCTGCCTTTGATAATGTGAGCGTTGGCATTTCAGTTGGAGCCTTCAGTCGTCTCCAGTCGTCTCCGCCTAACTCCCTGCCCTCCAATAGTTTGAAAACTTTCGCAGCATGCAGCGGGGGCAAGGCTAAGGGTATGGCTATGTGTAAAGGGGGGTAGCAGCAAGGAAGGGGGAATGTGTTGAAGGAATGGGCCACTCGAGAGGCGTTGCTTTGATGGGAGTGCCATTTGCCTGGTGGCCATTTGCCTTGCCCCTCGCTACGGCAGCGGTAGAGAGTCCGTAATATTTAGCAACAAAACAGTTTTAGTGTGCAAAGGGGAATGGAACGGAATGGAACGACTGAAAATGGAATAGATTGGAATGGAATGAAAAGAGATTAGCGATAAAAGATGGATTAATCAGTGTGGAAACTATCAGAGAAGCAGAAAAGAAAGAAGTTGGAACAGTTTCTGGTTATAGAGCACTGGACCTGAATGGAATGCAAAGGAAGCAATGGAACTACTGCTAAGTGGAACGGAGGAACAGAAACGCTCTTTGAGGCTCTTCGTTAGAATTGCTTTGATTAAATCAGTCAAAATGCTCACTTTAAGTCCATAGCCACAGCCAGAGCCACCGCCAGAGCCACCGCCAAAGCCACCGCCAAAGCCATAGCCAGAGCCATAGCAGTGGTGGCAGTGGTCTGTTGGCTGATCTGGGTGGGGGCAGGTGGGCAGGCGGTTAAACAACAAATTCAAATTCAATGAAAGTTAATAAGGATGTCTGGCTGTGGCTGTGGCTCTGGCTCTGATGCTGGCCCTGTCCCTGTCCCTTTCCCTGTTCCTGGCTGGTGGCGCTTCTTGAGCAGCCGATTGAATTATTTAATAAATTAATTGCGCAAATGAAGTTCGCGACTCGACTGGCTCGACTGGCCACGCCCACATCCCATCTGCGGCTGTTAAAGCAATTAGGCAACGGAGTTACTTCTTCTTTGCCCATTTTTTCCCCCTGTCTGCCTCTCACCCAACCCCCACACCTCACATATCGATGCAAGATGATCGATTAGGTGCTTGGTGGCTGCCTGCGCCTTGCAAAGGAATTGCCAACCCCTAATCTGCATAGAGCGCGTGCCACAACTGGAAGCACAAGAAAACAACTTCAAAAACTAAAACATTTTTGGGTGGGTAGCTCACCCTCTCTCTCTCTCTCTGCAGTCATCTCTATACTTCCTTTATACCCGTACCCATACCCATCCCGTACCCACCTCCACCTCCAGCTAAAGCTACAGCTACGGGGGCCCCTTTCGGATTGCCATTCAATAGAAACAAAAATAAAAAGAAAAGAAATCGATCGATAATTTTTAATGTAGTCGTATTTCTTTTTAAGCACTCGCTTGTACCTTTTTGGCTGCCGCTGTCGCTGCTGCCACAGCTCCTGCTGCTGCTGCCTGTCGCCCCAAGTTTTTGCCCCACTCCAGCCGTGCTACTGCCACTACAGCACCCCTCTGCCCACCCCTCCGCATCTTTCAGTTCAGTACAGTTCAGTTCGGTTCGGGTTTTCCTTCCCTTTTTCAGCTGCTTCGTTTTTTAATATTTACCCAATTCATCAAAAAATAAGTAATTATAAACTTTTCAGTTTTTCTTCTGCCTTGCGTCTTGCGTCTATATACTCTATCCCCCTCGCAAGCCACCCCCCATCCCATACCACACTTTCGCTATATCTTTCTCTCACTACCTCTAACCATCTCTCTCTCTCTCGCTCTCGCTGTCTTTCATTCTCTATGTGAGCATTTCCCTTTTACAAAACGCTTTCCTTGCCCTTTTCTGTCGCCCCCGCTCCAGCAGCGGCGCCCTCCCACCCCCGCACACACCCTTCCACTGGTTGGTTCGCGCAAAGTAGAAAAAAATTGGAAACAACCCCGAAAAAAAAAAGAAAGTTTTTGTTGTATAAGCGAAAAACTAAGCTTCTATTCAAATTCTACGCCATCGAGTGCTTCGTTTTTATTATTCATTCATTCCCGTTCTCGTCTCCTGTCTCACTCTCTCGCTCGCTCGACTTCGCTGTCTGCCTTCTCTGTCTTGCTGCCTTAGCCTCGTCTGTTGTTGTATTTTTGGCACAAGCAAAATGAAAGCACAAGGAAAAATGGGCAAAAAGTAAAAAAGATGAAAAATGTAAAGAAAGAGGAAAGTTTCCGATTACAGTGGGAGGTTTACTGCTGGAGGGGGTTGGGGGGGTGGGGTGGGCCCTGGTATTGTAGGCTCGGCACAAAGCCAAACACTAGTCCTCAACCTGCCCACCCACCAACCCCCCACACCTCCCTCTGGACCCAGCAGCGGCAGAACAGTTGAGGGGGGCGGGTGGGTGCTGGATTGGCAGTGGGGGGGATGGTTGAGCGATACACGCGCGTCTTTTGAGCATAAGTA